GCGACCTGCCCTCCCTCGCCCACGGCAGCTCCGACGTTGTGGCCAGCTGAACAAAGTGGTCATTGTCAAGCATTCCACAGGCTTACAACACACGGAATTTCGAGTGTTTGGCAGTTTTGGTTGAGGTTGCGCGACAAGGTGAGGAGGGAGAGACAGAACAACGTGGCGGCAGTCTGGATTCACGGGTTCTTCGCAATCTAGCTTATCAGCCTTAGAGAGATTGCAATCTCTTCCGTCGATTTGTGAGGTACCTCCTTCTACAAAATGAAAAAATCGGATGTCCCGGAACACTTGTACATCTTGACCAAGATGAGGGTCATAGACTTATGTCACAAATCGTGGCAACCTTCTCAAGCCACGGCCTGGTTTGCTACTTTTAATCACTTTAATCGTTTCGATAATTTAGGATTGCAGACGTTGATGGTGTTCTCCAGCCGCACCTTCCAGCACCTCAGCTGGGGTGTCGCCTTTTGTTTCATCTGCATATGGAGCACATACCTCACCTTTGGTACCTCCCTCTTCATCTCTGCCTTTTATTTTGCATTCATTTCTGATGTCTGATGGTTGCCACACGACCCGCACGCACACAGAAAACTATGCGGAGCACGAGCGACAGAAGGAAACGTACGAAGAACAGCTGATGGTGGCGAGGGAGCGACTGGAGGAAGTCAACAGAGAAGCCAACAAGCTGCGCAAGCAGCGTGATGTCACTCTCGAGGCGCACCTGCGCAAGATCCGGCAGCTGGAGATCCAGAAGAAGACTTTGCAGGTTTCACCCTCTCCACTCGGCGCGCGCGCGTGCCGTGGTGTGTCGTGTGTGTATTAACGCTGGGGTCTGTGAGTAGGAAGAGCTTGAGGTCATGGCTGCCGAGCCGGACACGCAGGAGGTAACAAGCGTAGCTTGCGAGGTTGAGCCACCAGCACACAACCCTCAAAGCTCCGCACGACAAGCCACGACCTCTCGATCACGTGAGCGCTCGCCCTCTCCATTTGTGCGCTGTTCTCCCAGGTTGCTGATGCTTGTGCGTCATGACACAGGAGCTGAGCACAGTCTGGACATGAAGAAGCTGGCCCAGCACGACAACATCACCAAGTTTCACATCATCTCCCACACTCATTGGGATAGGTAACACCCCCCTTGCATCGTGTTCCTTCCCCTCTTTCTCTAAACGCGCCATTCTCTTTGCTTTGTTTCTCTTTGGTGTGTCGTCATCACGCGGGGCAGAGAGTGGTACCTCCCCTTCGAGCAGTTTCGTGGCCGTCTGGTGAAGCTGTTGGATGACGTGCTCGACCAAATGGACACCGACCCCACGTTCCAGCACTTTCATCTCGATGGCCAAATGGTATGCGTCTCACCTCTCTACATTGCCTTAATAATGTGATGGTATCAATGTGAAATGAAATTGATATAATGCAAAATATTTCTCTGTGTGATCTGAACAGATTCCAGCCGACGACTATATGGAGATCAGACCGTACATGAAGGAGAGGATCCATCTGGCCAACTTGCAGAACAAGATCGCCCTGGGACCCTGGTAGGGAGCACCTCTTGCGCGCGCGGCTGTAATTTGATTTGTTCTTTTTATCAAGATGACGTGGCGTGACACTCGTGCTCGTGCTCGCGCTCGTGCTCGGGGTGGTTGACAGGTTTGTGCAACCCGACGAGTTCCTGGTAACTGGCGAAGGGCTCGTCAGGAACCTCATGCTGGGCATTCGCAAGGCCGAGGCGCTGGGCGGCTCCTCGCTCGTGGGCTACATTCCCGACTCGTTCGGGCACATCGCACAACTGGTGATCCCCTTCCCACTCTTAAGTGATTCAAGCTCGCGCATCAAAGTGTCTAACGTTCGCTCACTCGCTTCTCTCTGTGACAGCCGCAAATGCTGCTGGGTTTCGATATCGAATCGGCAGTGTCCGGACGTGGTCCAGGCCCCAAGCAGCCCAGCGAGGTACCGCGTGTGTGTGTCGTGCGTGTCGTGCTTGCGCGTACCATGAGAACAACACCTCACGCGCTCATTCGTCGTGGCGAAGCTGTGGTGGCAATCCCCCGATGGCTCTCGAGTCTTGTTCATCCACCTTCGTCGGTGGTATTGTAACGGCCTCGACATGCCTCGCAAGGTCAATACGTACGGCCTCTCAGTCTCGAGCCTTGAAGCCCGCTGCTCCTTACGTATTTCGGTGTCGTGTGTGTGTCATTGTGAACCTGAACTGCTTCTCGGCTTGTCTGCCTGACTACAGAACGGCGTACGTACCGTTCCTTTCGAATAGCCCGACAATTTGCTCACGGGTGTGCGTGCTGCGTGTGTTCAGTCTCATACCGTGGTACTCCAAGAAGTACAAGGAACTCGTTAGCGCCGGTACCAGAACGTCGCACCTGCTACTCATGAACGGCTGCGATCACACAGCACCCGATGCGCAGTAACATCTCTCCGCTCTCCCACCCACCCCAGCTTCGTGTGCTCCTGCTGATCCACGTCATTATCCGTGTTTAGTGTCGGCCAGCAGATCGTCGAATCGAACAAGCTGTTCGCGGAGCACAAGCTGCCAATGGTGGCCGTGCACTCCAATCTCGATGACTACGTGTCGCTCGTGCACTCCGAAGTTCAACGGTACGCACTCATGGATTTTTAATCTCACCCAAAAACGCCATCCGTTTGCGCTTGTGTGTGTAATTGGGGTCATGTTTTCGGTACCGGTAGGAGGGGCATCAAGCTGGACAGATGGCCCGGCGAGATGCGAGTGGCCGTGGACCACCTGGCCAACACGCTCTCCACCAAGATCACCCAGAAAGTGGTACGCACCGTGTGCGTTGATCGCTGTTTACGACGACGAGGCCGCTGCTGCTACTGCTCGGCCAATGCAAACTTGCTTGTCCTCACTTCACTCCCGTTGTTGGTCGTGTCTGCCACCATCAGATGAACTGGCGCGTTTCGACACTCTTTGAGAAGTGGATGGAGCCGCTGGAGGCCCTCGCCTGGAAGATCCAAGGCAGGCGATACGACTCCGATCGCGTTTGGTACACTCGCTCACCCAACGCCACGCTTTGATTCGAATCAGATTGATTGACCGATTCATCCGCCTCTCGCCGACGCATGTGCGGTGGTGCGTGCGTGCGTATGCGTGCGCAGGTATGCGTGGAAGGTGCTGATGGAAAACCATCCACACGACTCAATCTGCGGCTGCTCGGTATCCGATGTGCATCGCGAGGTACTATTATCTATGATTCTTATTCGTCTTATTATAGCGATTTCGCTCATGCGCCGTAAACACGGCATTTTTGAATCTTGAATCAGGTCGACACGCGGTTCGCCAAGGCACGACAGGTGGGCGAACAGCTGGTGAGCACCGCCTTTGCCTCGTTCTTCCGCCACTTTGTGGACCCCCTTGGTGCGCCTTCGTTCCCCTCCTCCTCTCCTTCCACCTCGTCAGCTGAAGCTTCTTCGTCGCGCTGCTCCAGAGGACTCTTTCCGCCGAATCTTCGTGTTCAACCCCTCCAACTTCCCACGGGAACGCGAAATCATCTATGCTCGGGTACGACATGCACCACCGCACACGCGGCACACAGCGAAAACTTCACGTTTTTTGTTTTTGATTTTTTTGTTTGTTTGTTTGTGTGTTTTGTCTTTTTGCTGACACGACGCGATCGACAACAAAAAAGGTGGAGGGGAAACTCGAGAGGGGGCTCAAGCTCCAGTGCACCGATGCGGCGGGCCAGCCCGTTCTCGTGCAAATGCTGGAAGTGGTCATGAAGCAATGGACCTACGAATTGCCCGATGGCGGTACCGCTCCCTCCTGTCACGCCCTCCCGAGTGGCCAACTTCAACAACAGTTGTTCTGCCTTCAGGTGCTGATATCTGGTGTGTGTGCCGTGTGTGTGCCGTGTGTGTGTGTGTGTGTCGTTTCAAACCAGGTTTCCGCAAGTCCGTCAATAGAGCGCTTTACAATGTGGCGGTGGAAGTGAGCGTGCCCGCTCACGGCTACGGCGTGTACACTTTCCGCTGGGTTCCCGTCGGCGCAATGACAAGCGCCAACCCCGTGCTCGAGCGCCTGATCGAGGAGGCCAAGGCCAACGAGGACAAGCAGCCGAAGGAGAAGGAGCGCAAGGCCGACTACCATGGCGAGGGCGATGATGATGAAGAAGAACTGGAAAAATCGCCAGAGCCCGAGGAAGCTAGGTACGCGCTCTTTCAAAGTCTTGCGTACATGCAGCCATGCGTGTGTCGTGTGTGTCGTGTGTGTCGTGTGTGTCATGTGTCGGTGTCGTGCGTGTCGTGTGCCTTGGTTGCTTAGCGCGTGTTTTGATCCAACAGAGAGGACCGCGCCGGTGGCCGGCGCAAGCGAAGTCTGCTGTCGATGGAAGAGGAGACGAGCGAGGCGGCCACGTCGCCAGTGGCGCCGCAGCGGAAGCAGAAGATTAAGGGGAGCAAGCAGGCCTCGCCCGCCTCGCCCGCGAAAGCCGAGAGCAGCGCCGCCGCGCAGCCCACCAAGGGCGTGGAGCAGCGCTTCAGGGAAGCCGTGAACAAACCCGAAACCGCTGCGAGCCAGTCCCGCGCCCCCGCGACGACGCCGGGCAGCTCTGCTGCCAGCGCCGCCTGGTCCGTCGTCCAACAGCGGGCCGCCGCCGGCACTGAACAACCGTCGCCCGAGCCCGAGCCCGTCTTGCCGCCGGTCATGGAGAACGAGCACCTCCTCGTCAACGTGCTCCCCAACGGCCGGCTGAGCATCCAGCACAAGGACAGTACGTCGCCCCCTCCTTTCCCCCTTTCCCCCTAGGGCCTCGCCCCGTACATTAGTCTCGACCAACCCCACCTCGGCACCCCAGGCGGCATGGTCTTCCAGCACCTGAACAAGCTCGAGGACGGACCCGACATTGGCGATGAATACGTCTACAAGCGGGTACGCAGCCACACAGGCCTTACAAGAGAACGCCCATTGGGCCTTTTTTATTATTTGTTTTTATTTTATTTTTTTTGTTATTATTGTTATTTTTTATATAATATAAAACTGTTGTTTGCTGACGTGTCCGGCAATAGAGAGGCAATTCGGGTCTCATGTTCGCCAGTGAGGAGAACACCCAGATCGTTCGGGTCCGACACTTTGCCACGCACTCCGTCATTCAGGTAACTCAAGCCCCCCCCTCACACCCGCCCGTAAATACCACCCACTTTCCCGCCCGCTCACACTCACCCGCGCCACTTTCTGTCCCGTTCGTTTGTGTGTCGTGCACGAGCAGACCAAGACGGACTTCGGCCCGACTCTGGAGGTGAAGACGTTCTTCCTCTTGACCAAGGGTACACACACCTCCCTTGCCCCTCGGTGTTCGCTTTACCACCCGCGGCAGCGGCCGCTTACGCTTCAGTTGGTATGTAGGAGCGCGGCGAGTCGATGTGCGCGTGGAGGTCAACAACCAAAAGGGCTCCCATCGCCTGCGCGTTCTGTTCCAGCCGCCCTTCTTCGTCAAGGAGATCTACGCCGACAGCCAGTTCGAGGTCATCAAGCGTCCAGTCTCGGCCAAGTATTTCCCGCAGCAGAAGTATATGATGGTACGCACACGCACACGCACACGCACACGCACACGCACACGCACACGCACACGCACACGCACACGCACCACCGCACACGCACACGTGTATGTGTGCACATGGCCTTTTTTAATCGCACGCACATGTGCAACTCGCGTGTCATGTAGGTGTATGACGACGTGCAGCGACGAGGCCTGGCCATCGCCAACAAGGGCCTCCCGGAGTACAACGTGGAGCAAAGTAACACCACATCATCATCGGCTCAAGGTTTGATGCGATCCGCGACTCCAGAATCATGACTCACACTCCCTTCCCCCTCCCCGCAGGCAACCTGTGCCTTACGCTGTTACGCGCCGTAGACAAGTTGGGCGATTGGGGCAAGTTCAGCACCCCGACCGCACAAGAGCTCGGTACTTTAATTGTTATTGTTGTTATTATTAATGATGCGTCGTGCGTGTTGCGTGTTGCGTGTTATGCTGCAGAGCTGACAGGCAACAACCTGTCATGACAGGTGTGCTATCACTGGAGTACTCGATTATACCGTTCGTCAACCCCATCAACATCGATCTGTTCCCCTTCGCAGTCCCCGACGCCGAGGTACGTACCATACTCGCTCGCCGTTTCATAGTGTGCCAACCGACCCACAACCAAACCAAACCGACGCCGAAGTACGTACCATACTCGCGCCGTTTCATAGTGTGCCAACCGACCCACAACCAAACCAAACCAAACCAAACCAAACCAAACCAACCAATGCTCCGTACGTGCGTGATGCAGGCGCGCAAGTTCAACGAGCGGATCGTGCCGATCAACGTGAAGGACTACGCCGGCTATTTTCCGGAGGCGCTCGTGGACACGAGCTTCTCGGATCTGGTGGGCCTCACCTCCGAGCCCTCCCTCCGCTTCATCGATGGCCTCAAGATGCCCACCACCCCCGATGGCCTGCGGTACTGCTCCTAACTTCATGTGTCGTGTGTGTGTGCCGTGTGTGTCGTGTGTCGTGTGTCGTGTGCGACACTCACGACGAACCCGCTTGTAGGCATCTGCCGCAGGACCGAGTGGGTCAGCTGATGCCGGGTTCGCTGATCGAGGTGCGACCGCGACATCTGGTGGTCTCGACGCTGAAGAAGGCGGAGGACAGGGAGAGCCTCATCCTGCGCTTCTACAGCCCGTTCGAGACCACCGACACCGCGCACGTCTACGTGTCATCGGCGATACGGTTCGCCAAGGTATACCGATGCGAACTCAGCGAACAGCGACGCGGCGAGGGGCCACTCGACGTAGAAGACCTCGAGGACGGCGCCCGGCTCATCAAGCTGGTCGTCGGCCCCAAGAAGATCGTCACCCTCGAGCTCGAGTAGTAGCCCCCCTTTTTGTTTGCCTTATTTAATATACATATTTATATAAAAATGTAATAATTATTATCATTTATCTTTACGCGACGGGCGGCGGTGGGGTGGTGGGTGACCGCGCGGGGCTCTGGGCCAGCGCGGTGCGGGCGAAGGGAGTGTCGCACAGGGCCTTGCTTGGAATGCGCCATTGGGTCTGGTCCAGCCAGCACGACGAAAAGCCCGGGTTTTGAGTTGACCAGGCCGCCTCGGCCAGGCGGGTGAACGCTTGATCGACTGGGCGCGTGGGTGTGGCGTAATCAAAAGGCATAAGGCCTCAATCACACAGAGACAACGATGACGACGATGGTACCTTGTAGGGCATCGTGACCATCAACTTCCATCCAGGCCAGGGCTCCAATCTCTCGCGCTGCCGCTCGGGCCTGGGCTTCCGAGACAGCACTGGCTGGTGGCTGGCCCGCACCATGATGGTGGCGCACTCCAACTGTCCGGTTGGACAATAATGAATGATGCAACGTTGTGATGACAACGACGAGTACGATCAAAAAGGAAGTGGTACCAAGGATGGGGGCAACCAGGGCAGGAGGGCAGCAGACGTGTTTGGCAATCAGCCGGGCGTACATGGCCTGGGCGCCTTTGAGCGTCTCCGCGTTGGCCGCGTCGTACACGAACATCACCCCCTGCATCGTTCGATAGTACGAATCGGCGAGCTTCCAGAAACACTCCCGGCCTCCAACTTCCTACGGCGCAGCAGCGGAAACACAAAGGTCAACCGACCACTGTGGGATTGGAGGTGCTTAGGTGATGAGGGAGGTACCCAGAGCCAGAGCTTCACGGTGTTGCCGTGGATTGTGAGCATCTTGCGGGCAACGTCAATCCCGATGGTCGGCACGTAACCGTCAATGGCCTGGCCAGCAGTGTAGCGCTGGATCAGGCATGTCTTGCCCACTCCTGCACAGGTCCCACCGACACAGGTTCAAATCCTCGGATCGATGTGGTACACGTGTGCGTGTGCGTGTGCGTGTGCGTGTGCGTGTGCGTGTGCGTGTGCGTGTGCGTGTGCGTGTGCGCGTTTCATGCTGCGTGCCCGAACCTGCTTCCCCTATGAGGATGACTTTCACCACCTCCGGCTGAGTGCCCTTGCTCGCTTGTGCCCGGAGATGTTGAACTGCGCAAAGGGGGTCAGGCGAGACATGCGTGCGTCACAAGAGTCCAGGCCTATGTGGTACCTCGGCTCTGGGCGTGGAGCTTGAGCCGAGGCCGAAGCCACGCCATGTACGCCGTCTTCCACCTGACCGTTGCTTCCTCTTCCTCTTCGTTTTTCGTGTCAAGCGCTGCGGTCTCGGGCGAGCTGCAGAAATGGCGCCACAACGTGTCCGCGCAGCTGATCTCGTTCAGCTTCTGCTCCATGCGTACCACAATCATCAGTTTAAGAGATTGAGAGGGCAGAGGGCAGCCAACAACGAACGTACTGTGCAAACCTGCGCAACGGCGCACAGATCGAACGGCTCCAGGAACGAGAGGATGTGCACCACCACGTCCAAGGGCACCTCCATCAGCGGGCTCTCCGCAAACGTGGCCCGAGCGATCATGTCCCCTATGTGCTCGTGATCATTCCGCCGAGCAACCTGCACGAAGAGAGAGGGTTGGTACGCTTGCAGCTCAAGGCTCAACTTGAGCGGCTCAGTGCACCTCGGCGGCAGTGCCCTGGTCGCCCTCGAGTTTGGTGTCCACACCGGGCTGCTCCAGGAGGAGCGCCACGACGTCCGATCGCCCGGAACGCGCGGCCCAGTGCAGGCCCGTCTCCCCTTGCTCGTCCCTTAGTAGCGGCAGCGGCAGCGCGGCAATGGGGTCGGACCTGCCCCGACCGCTGCGGCGGGCTTGGGCCTGGGCGGCCAACAGGTACTCCACCGCGGGCCAGTTGCCTCGTGAGCACGCGATGTGGAACGGGGTCGCCCCGTACTTGTCGCCCGCGAAGGGCTTGGCGCCGGCGCTGATCAGCAGCTGCCAAGTGCGCAGGTCAGGAGAGAGCGGCGACGGCTCGAGCCGAAGCCAAGACCGCACGGAGTCACTCAACCAGCCGACGACGGCGCTGTGGCGGCCCGGCGGAGAGGCCATGGTGCGCGGCCGCGGCTCGAAGGGGCCTCTCTGCGACTCAGCCAGCGCGTGCAGTTCCGTGCGCCCGTGGGCGTCGAGACGCGATCGTGCGCCGTAGTCGTCTACAAGCAGCCGCACTGCGGAGTCGTTGCGGCACTTGACCGCCACCAACAGCGGCCACAACCTCACCACCCCACCATCATCAGTGTCTTCGACCTCTGCCGACGAGGCCTGAGCAAACTGGTCCCTGCCCAGCCCTGCAACAGATCACCATTAGTTCTGTTCTCGGAAGTAGGAGGGGGGGGGATTGGCACCTTGAGTAGTGCGGCCTTCGTCTTGAGAGGTCTTGGTTAAAGGCACAAAGAATGGAATTCGAGGAACGCAGGGTTATTTCCCGTAGAGGGAAGGGGGAGAGCGATCAGAGGCCGTGCTGCTGGAGGAACTGCGGCAGGTGGACCACCTCCTCGGTCTGGGCTGCGGTGCGCAGGGCGTCGACGATGATCTGGTTGTGGAGGGTGATGTCGACCCATCGCTGCTGCAGCTCGCCCGAGCGCACGATCGCGTTGAACGCATTCACCAGCTCCACCTCCTGATGTGGACCACACATCGCAGTGGTGAGTAGGTGGTGGCTGGTGATAATGGCGGTGGTTGGTGGGTGGTGGTGGACGGGACGCACCGCGAGACAGGGCTCGACTTCGACGTCGGACTTCTCCCACGGCCGCTTGGCGGAGGTGACGCTGAAGCGGGATCGCTCGTCGTAGTTCTTGTTGTCGGGGGAGGAGTGCCACGGCGAGACCAGGTCCTCGCAGCGGAGCGAGCCCTCGGTGCCGTTGACCTCGAGCCACTGCCGCCAGCCGCAATGGTTGAAGGAGCAGTCGAACGAAGCGGTGCTGCCACCCGGGTAGAACAGGACCGCGGTGAAGTCCACGATCACGCCGCTCTGTGCGTCGAATTCAACGCAATTCAATTCACTGTGCAGATGAGATAGAAAGAGACGTGGCTCGAGCGAACGTACGTCGTTGAGCTTGGTCGAGGCCCAGACCCGTTCGGGGAGGGTGGTCTCGCCGTAGACCATCTGCAGCGCGCGCACATTGTACCACCCGAGATCGCCCAGCGCACCCAGAGGCTCAAGCTCCTGCCGAAAGCCACACACGCCAGTGAGCGTGTGACGTAGCTCGTGAGACCGAGTTCGACAGTCGTCGAGTGACATACCACATTCATGCGGATGTTGTCGGTAGGCACGTTGTCGATGGAGAGGCACGTGATCACTCGGTTGATCTTGCCCAGCTTGGCAATGTGCTCCCTGGAAGAATGCACACAACAACCACCACAACCACATTCCATGTTGGTTGCGCGAATGTTCAGATATCACAACACACAACACCATCAAGTGCGCGAGTGTGTGCGTACTTCATGGCCTCCGTGCGGCGGTGGTGGGTCCACATCACGCCGTCCATCAGCTGAACGTTGTTCTCCTGCGAGCATTACAGGAACACCACCCAACCACAGCCAATCATGCCCGGGGTTAATCGTGACTTGCCGCACAGTTCGCTGCACCAGGTGTGTCGGTGGCTCGTACCTTGCAGGCGGCGATCATCCTCTTGACTTGCGCCACATCGCAACCCAGCGGCTTTTCGCACCTGATGTGTTGAGCACACCGCCAACGGTTGTTGTTAGTGTGCAGTGAGCAATTCTTGCAACCATTTAATACCTCCGCAGCCCGCAATTGCGGGCGGGTGACGGCGAGAGTGGTGTGGGGCCTCGACGTACAGCACGTGCTTCTTGTGCTGGGCGGCGGCGATGGTGAGGGACTCGTGGAGGTGGGTCGGCGTGGGGATGTAGACGGCGTCAACGTCGGGGTCACGCAACAGCTCCTCGTAGCTGCCGTAGGCCTTGGCGATCCCCTGCTCCTTGCCCCATTCTGTCGCGCGGCACCACCAAATCAAAGTGAGTCGATCGGGTGAGTCTCCGGAGCTACAAGATGGAAAGATCAGCCTACCCTGGGCGCGTTCGAGGGAGCGGCTGGCGACGGCAACGATGGACGACCCCTCGGCCTTCTTGACCGTCTGGACGAACACTTTGGCGATTTGGGCAGTACCCAACACGCCCCACCTCACTTCTTGCGCCATCTTTTGGGGTTTGCTTCGTCGTTTAAGAAAAAGAAAAGTGGAGAGAAAAAAAATTCACGTACGGCACGTGCGCCGAGCCCACCGCCCGCAACAGCGCACAGGACCCCAAAACATGAAGCACCGCGCGGACGACGGGGAAGTGTACGAATTTCCTGCTCGGACTACTCCGGCAGCCGAACGAACGAATAGCGCACTTTCTTTCGGTTTCGCCACAGAGCCTGGCCCAATTGGGCACACGAAGAGGCAACGTCTCGCCGGCACACAGCCTGCCAGCGTTACCTACCCAAGAACGAAAGCGAAGAGCACAAGAGCGAAAGCGAAAGCGAAGCGCGACAGAACGAAACCGATGGCCACAACAACCATGCCCACACAGCGGGTGGTGCAGCTATGGACGCCCGACCCGGCTCTAAACGCCACCAACGTGCGTCGACGACCCCTCACCCCGTGCTCCCACCTCCTCGAGCTGCAGAGGCGATCAGCTGAAGAGGACCACGGCTCCACCGTCACTCGGTTTCGCAAACCGGTTCCTCCGCCCAGCCACCACAACACCAAGGCCCACGTCGAAGTGGCGTCCCTGCTCGACATCTGCGCCCAGGCCATACTCCTCCACCAACACCGCCAGCGCACCACCAGAAAATCGTCGCCGACAGCACATCATAATGCGCCATCATCGGGTCGTCATCATCACTGGGCCCAGCAGAAGCAGGAGGCCTCCCTCTCGGTCGTGGCGACGACGGGTCAATTTGATATGGATCTGCTGCCGCGGGAACTGCGCGCGTACCTGAGCGAGCACTGGCTGTGCGTTGTGTGCCAGCGCCCAACACGAGGCCAGCTGAAGAGCCACACCCACAATTCCCACCATGACAAGGGCCGACCGGGTGCCAACTACCCCGGCTGGTGTCCTGCCTGCGTCCAGCGTGCGTCCAGCTTGCCCCGCGGTCACTGTGGTGCTTGGGTGATGTGGGTGGGCCGAACTAAAGCAAATGCTTGTGTGGTGGTGGTGTTCCGCTGAACAGGGCTGTGCTATTGCCAGGCCGACGGATGTCAGGCGTGTAACTCTACGTGGCTGTGCTTGACCTGCGGCAAGGTCTGCTGCAGCACTTCTTCTCACGGTACGATCGAATTCTCATTTTTCTCGTTATAGTCATCATCGCTGGCGCTTACATTGCTTCTCTGATGATCATCATCAGAGCATTCATTCGACCACTCGATGATGGAATCGCACATGCTTGCTTGGAAAGGTACAAACCGCGTCACTGGCACTTGTGGGTTCCTCTGTCTGACGCTCTCCTTCACCCGATCGGGTGGCCCATGTCTGTACAGTCGGGCCAAGACCCTTTCAGCAAGCCGCAGCTTACGACGCAGGCGACCCCGGTATCTGGTGCTTCGCCTGCTCGCGGTATGTCGGCGAGGCCAAGCTGCACCTCCACCTTCAGACGCTGGGCCTCACGGAGCCCTCCGCTGCCGCCGCCGCTGACTGCGATGTCAGCGAGAGATAAGTGTTTCAAAAACAAACCTTACTTTTTTGATTTAGTTGTGGTTCATGTTGTTTTATCTCTGTTTCCAACAGAATTCGTGGGTTCTGCAGCAAGGGTTGATGTGGTGTCAGTTCGAAACAGCAGTTGACTCCGAAGCCAATGAGGTTTCTTACATTTAGCTCCAAGCCAATCACCACGCACTGGACATAGCCGGTCCGCGGAACGCACCGCGGTAAGGAGTGACGGAGGTGAACTGGCCAGTGGCGGCCGCTCCGGCCCTCCCTGGCGAAAGCGAACGCCCACGAGGAGAAACTCTCAGAGGCTGACCGTGTCCGGGGAACTCCTCGCCCGAGTCCGGATCTCCTCATGACATCGACCTGACGTGCCTCCAGCCCGCTGGGTATAAAATGGACCGGGCCAGGCCCCTAAGCTCTTCATCTTCATCCTCCACGTAAAGCAAAGCGAAGCCACACTTTCGCTACTTCTTCTACTTCTTCTTCTTCTTCCCTTCGTTCAGGCTTCGATCCATCGATCGAAGACAACGAAAACACACAAAAAACTCACAAACTTCAAAAAGAACAACACGATGAGGATCAACATCGTCTTCTTCTTCGCCGTCGTGGTGCTGGCCGTGGCCTCGCTGGCCCAGGGCGTGAGCATCGAGGAGCGCGAGCTCCAGGGCCGGTTCAACGGGTGGATGCGCCAGCACGCCCGCAGCTACGACTCGGACGAGTTCCTCGAGCGCTACAACATCTGGCGCGAGAACATGGCCTTCGTGGAGGAGTTCAACCGCGCCGGCGACAAGTCGTTCACCGTCGCCATGAACCAGTACGGCGACCTCGCGCCCGAGGAGTTCTCCCGCCTCTACAAGGGCCACATGCTGCCCAAGGACGAGGAGGAGCAGATGCGCAAGCGGCTCGACGAGCAGGACCCGGCGGAGGAGGAGCCCGTGACGGTGGGCGCGACGGTCCCGGCGAGCTGGGACTGGCGGTCGGTCGGAGCGGTGACCGGGATCGAGAACCAGGGCTCCTGCGCCTCGTGCTGGGCCTTTGCCTCGGCCTACGCTCTCGAGGGCGCACGCAAGATCGCCAACAGCACGCTCGTCTCCCTCTCCAAGCAGCAGCTCGGTACCAATCTCTTCTCTACCCCGACAGCAACACACGACATGACACACGCACACGCACACGACACACGCACACGCACACGACACACGCACACGCACACGACACACACACGACGCACACACACAGAGAGAGAGAGAGTTGCTGATCAACTTTTGATGTGAACGAATGCAGTGGATTGCTCGGGATCTGGAGGCAACCTGGGCTGCTATGGCGGCAACGTGGGCCTGACCTACACCTGGATGCGCAGGAACAACGCCAAGCTCATGACGGAGGCCAACTACCCCTACACGGGCGTCCAGGCCGCGTGCCGCTACACGTCGGCCAGCCCGGCCGTCGTGGGCGTCAAGAACTACGCGTCGGTCAAGGCCGGCAGCGAGTCCGACCTGCTGGCCAACGCCGCGGTGGGTCCGGTGACGGTGGCCATCGACTCGTCCAAGCGCTCGTTCATCTACTACAGCGGCGGCTACTACTACGACCAGACCTGCTCGTCGAGCTACCTCGATCACGCCGTGACGGTGGTCGGCTGGGGCACCGACGCGACCAACGGCGACTACTGGCTGGTCAAGAACTCGTGGGGCGCCGCGTGGGGCGAGGCCGGCTACGTGAAGATGGCGCGCAACAGGAGCAACAACTGCGGCATCGCCTCGCTCGCTGTGCGCCCGTGCCTGGACGCCACCTGCACCACGACCCCCAACACCCCGAGCGCCTAGACAGCCATAGCCATATGCTCCATTTGCTCAGTCTGCGCAGTACTGCCCGACGAAGCCCCTGCTTGTAGATAGTCCTCCCCTCTCTCTTTCTCCCAAGACAACAAAGACGTAATGTAAACTCCTTTTTTGGGCCTTTTCCTTATTTAGCAACAGAATAACATGCATTCTCTGATTTTATGTTTATATTTATCTTAATATTTATTGATCTTTTAAGAAGAAGGAAGGCGCAAGTTTTGATGCAAGGCGCGACGCTTGGTGAGGACTTTCACCGTCAGAGGCGACAGGTCCTCACCATTCACTGACGTCTAGAGATGGAAGATCTGATGAAAATTGGAGATTAATTTGGTTTATTGAATGTTCAGCTGGAGGAGGCGGTGACGAGGGCAGAGCAAGGGGTGGTGCTGGGAGCAGCTGGGCACTCACCAGACGGAAGCGGCCGGCTGGCGGAAGCCCTCACCGCGCTGGCGAACCTGTGCGCCCAACAGGCCACCACGCTGCGTCGGCAGCTACCCGGTTCTTACCCGCCCACGAATATTGGGGGGGGGTAGCAGCGGACTGACCCGTGATCCGTGACTACTCAGACCAACCCACACACAGCCCCGACGAGGAGCGCACGATAGACCAGATCAACGCTCTCCACCTCGAGGTCCATTCACGCCTTCTGTGTTGTGCGTGTCGTGTGTCGTGTATGTTGTGTGTGTGTGTGTTGTGTGTCGTGTCGTGTGTTGCGCGGCTTTGCTTACATGTTTCCTGACCGCGCAGGCAAGTGAGCTGTATGCACGAGCTATGCGAACCGATTCGTCAGTGGCGCGAGCCACGTCGATCACGTCATGCGTGTGGCAGGCTCCGCCGTCGCCTTCCCTCTCCTTCCGCACCCTCCACACGTGCGTGCCCTTCATTTTTTATGTTTTATTTATTATTGATTTTATTTATTATTGATTTTTCTGCAGAGACACGAACGAGGTGGGAGAAAAGGAAGAGTACCCAAGCGACGATGAAGAAGGCGATGAAGATGAAGACGAGGACGAAGACGAGGACGAGGAGATGAGCGATGAGGTGCAGGAGCGACACATGTTCGACCTCGCCCGACGCCAGGTACCCCTCTTGCCTCTTTCCCCCGCCCAATCCGGTCTGATCGCCTCGCTAGCCTCAGCCTCACTCTCTACGTTTCTCTCGCGCAGTACGAGGAGCACCTGCGCACGTCGGCCGACCCGCGAATAGTCATGCGCTACGCGCGAATGCTGGTCCACAGGTACACGCGCACTTGTTCGCCGCAGGTGGTGATGTGGAGCACCTGTGCGGAAGCGACTGACGGCTCACGACGGGGACGACAGACTGGAGGAGAAGGCGCGGGTGTACACGGAGGAGGAGCAGGCGGGGTTCCTCGCCCGGGCGGCCGAGCTGCTGGCTCAGGTGGTACGCCAGGGCCAGGAGGACACCGGCGGCGGCGGCAGCAGCGGCGGGGAATTGGCCAACGATGCGGCAGCCTACATACAACGCGTGGAGAGTCTCGCCAAGAACAAACGCACGCGTCATGCCCCTTGAACCTGTGTGTCGTGTCGTGCCGCGTGTGCGTGCGGTGGCCTCCAGATGTGAATAGAATCAATAACGAAGTGATGCAAGTGCACGCCGAGGTGTTTCTCAGCTTTTGGTTGTCACCCCGATCTTGACGTGATGCGCTTAACATATCTTTGTATTACAACGCGTAGGTAAGTAGTGGTTTGAAGTCAATCAGCGCTCGGCCTTCTTTCCCTCGCACTCCTCGAATTCGTCCATGAAGTAGTACTGGCGGGTGTCGGTCATGCTCGTGATCGTGTTGAACTTGTTGTGCCCCTTCCGCGTTTTCTTGCTCGACCCCTCGGCGGGACCCTTCCGTCGCTGCCTCCGGCCTCCGTTCCCGCTACCGCCGCTGTCGCCCTTGCTCAGAGCCGACTTGAGGCTCATGAACTCCAGCTCGAGCCGATAGGACGACAGCGGAATGCTGATGCTCCTCTTCCGCCTCGGCTTCCTCAAGCCCTGCGTCCACTCCTCGCCCTCATCAGCCTCATCGGCCTCGACATCGACCTCCTCGGGGTGCGGCTGTTGCTGTAGTTGTAGCTGGAGGTGGCGCAGGGCGGCTTCGTGGGCGGTGGCGGCGGCTTCGGCCTCCTCCTCGATCGAGCGGCGGCGGATGAAGCTGCTGCGCCGCTTGGTCGGGTCCCTCGGTCGGCGCGGGCTCAGGTTGAAGAAGTTGACCAGGTTGCGACCTGGCCCGCCCTTGGTCCCCTTGGCGCTCTGCCCGGCGGCGGCTCCCTCGGCCTCTCGCGGGGTCGCCTCGGGCGTGGCCACCGACGGTGGCCCGGTCCTGGGCGTGGGGCACGAACTGGTCTTCCCCTGGCTGCTTTTGTTCCGCTTCTGGCGCCGCTTGGCGCTGCCGCCGCTTTCCTCTTTATCGTCGCCGTTGCTGGCGTCATCGAGCGAGAGTCCCTCGATACGAGGCACCACCACCTTCTTGCCGCAGTCGGTCTCGGCCTTGCTCTTCACCTTCTTGGTCGGCTTCGTCTTCTCTCGTTTCTCTTTCTTCGGCTTCGTCTTCTCTTTCTTTTCCTCCTCATCCTCCGCTTCGTTCTTGCTCGGCGTAGTGGTCGTCGTGGTCGTGGTCGTCTCGGCCCGCTGGCGGTGCTGCTGTTGGGCATCGATGACTTGCTGGGCGGCGCTGATGCGGCTCCCGGCCCGGGTGGGGAACGTGGGCAGCGAGCAGTAGTACTTCTGGAGTAGGTACTCGGCCCCGCGCTCGTATGACGACTCAGTGCCACCGCGCGCTCGCGTACGGTGGTCCTCCTCCTCGGCGTCCTGCTCCTCGAGCTCCATCACCACCTCCTCGCTGCTGCTCTGTCGGCCGTTGCTGTCGATGACCCAGCTAAGCTCGTTGCTTGACACGAGGTGCTCCACCTCGTCCGATGATATGCCGTCGCGTTCCTCCCCCCTCTTGTTCGTCTTCTTGTCGCTTTCGTTCTTCTTCGCTGTTTTAACTCCTATTACTGCCGATGGGGCGTGTTCGGAGTCATCCGGCTCGGCCTGGCGCACGACCTGCAGCGGCCGCGGCGGGGTCCAGTCGCACCGGCCCTCGGTCCGTACATTGTCGTCCTTCACCCAGAGCGGGTCCTCCCAGTCGTCGCTCAGCTCGCCGTCGCTGTCGCTCGACGATGACGACGTCGATGACGACGAGCCATAGTAGATGTTGCTGCTATTCCTAATAGCAACTCCAACTCCGTCGCACTCGTCTTCGCCATCGTCGCCCTCGACCGCGTCGCTGTCAAAGTCCTCCGCCGTGAACACCATCACGCCCGAGTTGTCGAGGCCCTCGCGGTGGCCGCCGCCCACCCGCGGCCATCGGCGCCAGTCGCGGTCGCTCAGGGCCATGAGGTGGTGCAGGCCCACCCCGTTGAGTGGCGTGTTGACGGCCCTGTGCCGCCACCGCTTCATGCGGGTGAGCTCGCGCTTGGCCGCCACCTGCGCGCGGATTTCGTCTGGGTGTGTCGTCGGGGCGTCGAGCGTAGGCGTGGGCATAGAGGAGGCGAGCATCGTCGCTGCCGCCATAGTTCTTCGGAGAGGTTGCTCGAGCTTGTTGTGGTGCTCTCGCTTGGAGAAATGGAGAAGGTGGCGACTCGCTTGTGGTTGTGGAGTTGATGGTGAGGATGATGATAGGGCGATGGCGCTGTACGACGAGTAGAGTGAGTGTGTGTGAATGGGCTGTCTGGCAGGTCAATCAGAGTGACAACACAGAACCCAACAAGCTTGACCCGAGCTGGCAAGACGAAGCACGGCAGTGTGTTATCATAAGGGATTCAATGCGGCAGGATTTGGTGGAAAACAGCACCACCGGAATCTCGTTCATATCTTGTCTGCATTTCAACTATGTCGCCCATTATATCGCCACAAATATTCTAAATTGCTGCACTCTATTCGTGCTCTCATTGGACAGGGCCTCTTGACAAAAGAGAATGAAATCTCGTCGTTTTTCGCCGTTTCAGCCAGCGTGCGCCGTCGCGCAAGCCACCAGTGTGGCGTGTAACGCACCCTTAGTTCTTGAGGTATCTGTCGCAGAAGCGACATCGGAGATGAACTGTGTGCCCCAAGGTGCATATTAACATTTCTCTGCAATCTCACAGTTGTGACTAAATAAATAATGTTACTGGTGTGTGTTGCCTGTTCACCGCTCGCTGGAGAAGAGGAGCTTGAGGTTGCGCCAGCTGGGCTTGGCGCTGCCTTCGCTCTTGTTGCCGTTGTCTCTCGTGGTCTCGTGCGGGCGCTCGTCCTCCTCCTTGCGCTCGGCCGCCTCGCGTTCGCGCCGTCGCCGGTCGCGCTGGGCCTTGAGCTGCTGCTGGTGCAGGAGGAGCTGCTGGTGCGGCCGCGGCCGGTTGTCGAGATCGACGAACGTGTTGGCCGCGCCGCCGCCGTAGATGTCATCGTCATCGTCCAGTCTGCCCGATTCGCCCTCGTCGTCGCTCAGGCTTCGCGCTTGACGCAGAGGCTGCTCGATAAGGTTGAGGTTCGGCCGTGGGGCGCCCAGCGAAGAGCTGCGCTGGCGGCCCTGCACGACGCCGGCGGCGGCCGGGCTGTCCTGCGGCAGTGCAGATGATGAAGACGATGATGAGGGTGTCGCCAGCGCCGCAGGTTGGGCGTTGCTGCCGTTGCGGTTGCGGCGAGGAGTGATGAAGGAGTAGGCGCGCCAGCGACTCTTGCGCTCGGACTTCTCCTGGTCGCGCTCGCGGGCGAGCTGGCTCAGATCCTTGCGCTCCTCGAACGCCAGCACGAACGAACTGATCGTGTTCGAGCGATCGCGTGAGCCACTGCCACCGTCGCCACCGACGGCTTCGTCGCCGTCCGCGCGGCGCGCCTTGCCGCGCGATCGTCGCGAGGGGAAGGCAAACGGTTCGCTGCAGCGTCGCGGCTTGCTCGCCCGCTTCCACAACTCCTCCATCTCCCTTTCCATCGCGCGCTCGGCCTCCGACTCCTTCTCCTCCTTTCTGGGCGTGGACGATTTCTTCGTCTTGGCCTCCAGCGTGGCGGCAGCGTCGGTCTGGGCCTGGCCCTCCCCGTCGGCCCTGCGCCCGCGGCCGTCCCTGCCCTGCAGCTCCGGCGAGGATTCGGGCGTCGACGCACCACCGCCATCGCCCGATCCGTCGTTGTCGCCGTCGCCGTCGTAGCTGCGCTCTCTGCGCATGCACAGGAGAATATCTCCGCTCTTGCACAGCTTGGCGCGCAACCGCAGCAGCCGGCCCTCGTCGTTTCGCTTGGCCGAGACTGCTCGCCGCTTCCTCCTCGGCCGCTTGCCATTGCTGGCTTCGTTCTTCTTCTCCTTCCCACCTTCGCGCTCGTTATCGTCTTCGCTCGCGATCGTCACGTTCTTCGTCTCCTCTACCCCGGTGCCCTTCGCCTTGACGATCTTGTATCTGTCGCTTTCGCTCTCGCTCTCGTCGTCGCTTTCTCTTTCGCTCTTTTCCTTCCCCTTCTTAGTGGTGAGGCTCGTTAGCGAGGCCAGCGAGTGCGGATAGTACGCACACAGCAAGTCGAAGGCTCCCTTCTCCTCCGCTGCATCCTCTCCCACCGCCTCTGGCTCCGCTTCTTCGCTTTCTTCCTCTTCCACGCTCTCCGCCTTCGCCTTCTCCTTCTCCCCGCCCGCGACTCGATCCCGTCGAGCAACGCTGTCGCGATCCTTCCCAGCCACGGCGCACGGCGCCTTCCGCTGTTTTCCGCTGGGCTCCTCCTTCCGTACGATCCCGCCGCTCACCTTGCGCAGCCGTCGTTCGTCGATCACCCACGACACCTCCTCGTCCCTGCAACCCCACGTGAATCAGCCGCACGCACACGCACACGCACGCACGTCACCGCACACGCACACGCACACAAGCAGGGTAGGAGCGTACCAGGGACCAGAGGCGGCAAGCGGGGCGATACGACCCGCACGGAGAGACTCGTAGCCGAACCGGCCGCGCGGGCCTCGGGCGCTGCCGGCAGCGGTGAGCGTGGCGGAAGCCGACTGCGCGAAGGTCCCATAGCGCGAGTACGACGAAGAAGACGAGGAGATGTAGGAAGGAGATGGAGATGCGCAGGATGAAGAGGAGGAAGATGAAAAGTCGCTCGTCAACGCCCTTCGCTCTTCGGCGGCCTTGTCGATTCGGATTCGCGTTTTCTTCGTCGTTTTCGTTCTTTCCTTCTTCGCTTTCGATCTTTTCTTGTCTTCGTCCTCGTCATCCTTCTCGGGGGCGCTCTTCGACAGCCCACCACCAGGTCCCCCTGCGGCCGTCGCGGGGGCGGTGCTCGATTTCGAGTTGAGCCGTCGGCTCGAGGTGCGCGCCCACGTCTGCCGCATAACCTTGCCCCACGTAGGTCGTGACCTCGTGGATGAAGATGCCGAAGATGAAGACAACGTGGAGGAGATGTCTACCTTCTCGTTGCCCGCTACACCCACCGCTGGCGCGTCATCCTCCATCTTGTGTGGCTTGGTGTAAGACCTCCAAGCTTTTCGAACTTGTGGTCGCTCAGCTGGCCGAGTCACTAAGTGACCTTGGCCGTTCCTGCGGCTTCGTAGATTTTTCTTGTCGTACACCCGCTTCGAGTTAATCTTGGTGGTCCCTTGCTGCTGCGCTGAACTGGCGCCACGAGCACCTTAGTTCGCGTGAATCCTTTGCTTGCTCTTGAGGGAGAAGGGAAGCCCAGACACAGCCACCGAACGGAGACGTCTCCGGCAGTGTGCAGGAGCACGATATTTCCACGTTGTACACACAGCACCATTTTGCAGATACCCGCGAGATACAAGGTCGGGGCCAGGTCAAGCCGCGACCAGGTGGAGCACAGTTCATACCCCACCGTTCGACAAGCACACCCGGGCGAGACTTGTGGTGGTTGTGCGTCTCGTCGTCAGCCCTAAGTCCGACCGGCCACACCTCAGCTTTTCGGTTCACCTCCGCTAACCAAGAAAATGCCGCAAAGACCATTTTCAGTGCCGGACAGAAAGGCGATAGTCACCGGCCCGGTCTCAACCACTTCTTCACTTTTGCTCTGATTGATGGAGGTCGAGGCACTGCCGGACGAGGTCCTGTTCCACATCTTCTCCCTCCTCACCCCCACCTGCCTGAGGTCCGCGTCCCTGGTCTCGCACCAGTGGCACCAGGTACGTTCCCCTCCCCCCCCCTCTTCCGGTACTTTGTGGTGCTGATGTGAAGTGCGAGTAGGTGGCGAAGGACAACTGGGTGTGGAAGAGCATGTGCGAGAAGGCGAAGCTGACGATGAACTCGGCCAACCGCCGCAAGTTTGAGAATGACTGGCGGGCATGGTACCAAGCCGTGGTAAGTGTGGATCTCCTCCGCCTACTCTCTCACACACACTGGGTCGCATGCTCATTGTGTTGGTGGTGTTGGGCGTGTGCAGCAAGAGGGCAGCTTTGACATCCTCGAGACGGACGCCGACTCAAGTGGTATAGAGGTCTAGTAATGTTATTTGTATGTATCAACAGCTTTCCTTTGACATGGACCGCGCACCCCGACTACTGGACGATGCGGTCCTTCTCCTCGATGGGCACGTCGTTGATGGAGGCCTGGCGAGTGTGCATGAGGCCACGCTCGTCGAAGGTCCAATGCTCCAGGCCATAGGCGCGCCACCATCGGCCGTTGTCATCGCGGTACTCGTAGTTGAACTCGACCGCGATCCTGTCTCCGGCGAAACAGAACAGCTCCTTGCGCAGGCGATAGTCGTGCTCCTTGGCCCACTTCTCCTCCAGGAAAGCCCTGATGGCGGCGCGACCCTGCAGGAACCGATCCCGATTGCGCCAGACCGAGTCCTCCGTGTACGCCAGGGCCACCTGCAATATTTTATTTATTTTATTTAGCTAATTATAAGATAAATACCAATAAAATGGTGATGGATACCTTGCTGGGGTCCTTGGTGTTCCATAGGTTCTCGGCCGCTTGCACCTTGGCACGGGCGGTCTGCTCGGTGAAGGGCGGCACAAGCGGCTGTGCGGGGCCGCTCGCCAGCCGTCTCCAGCCCACGTGCGCCGCCGTTGTGGCCTGCCTCGGGGCCGACACCACCGCACCACCCAGCCGCGTCTGCGCACCACTCAACAACCTGCCACTGCTTCTACGCATCGCACAATGTCCGTTTGTCCTTGTCTGGCTCTTGTGGCTCTTGCCCGCAGCTTGCTTGTGACCAAATGGTCGCCCGCCGCTGCCTTTTTGTTCGCCACAACAAAAGCCCTTTAGGAAAGCTGGGATGGGTGTCGCCGACATCTCACCATCATCATGATCGGGAAGGTCCGAGAGTGGCGGGCGCCTCCTGCTACAGAAAGGGGTTTGTTTATGTGAAGAAGGTCAAGGCACGGGTCCGTCCCAAGGTGTAAACATCGCTGGTGGGGGTGGTTGTGGATGCACCCACGTCCCATTGACTCGCACGACCTCCTTCATCTTCGGTGCGCGGAAGGACGATGCTGAAGCTGAGGCGGAAGATGAGGACGTCGAGCTCACGTAGAAGTGCCCGCGCCTGTGCGCGTCCTTGGCCATCCGCCTGTCGGCCAGCGTAGTGCGAATATGGGCTTTGATTCCCGTTGGCACGTCCTTGAAATCGTACAGCTTCATGTTGTCCAGCACGACCTGCAACGTTGTCGCCCCCACCTGGTCACTACGTGCAAGGAAGAGGAGAGAAAGAGGAGAGGGGGGGGGAGCGTACGTTCATGCATCCAGCGAAGAGGGACAAAATCTGCACATGATCGTGGGTGGCTGCAAGTGCTTGAGATTGAACCCTCGAGGGTGGATCGCCTGCCTCATCTGTGGGCGCTTGGTACATAAACAAACGAAATTGTATTTATTTATTTATTTATTTTTGTTTCCCGCACACATGAATATTTTTCTTATTTTTCACTACAAATTTAATCTTTGGCCTGGGGCTTGTGAGCCGACTCAATGAAGATCTTCACGTGGGAGGGTGGCAGAGCCTGAAGCGTGCGGCGGATGGCAGCCTTGCCTTCGTCGTCGGTCACCCCCTTCTTGGCGGCCATGGCCTCCACGCCCCGCTCGATCAGCTCCTCCGTTGACAACCCATCCAGGCTCTCTGCTTGCGGCGCCGACATGTCCTTGTGATGCTTACGATGCTTACGTTGTGGTTGCTTGTGCTGGTGTGGGCGGTTGTCGGTTGTTGTGTCGTTGAGTCGCGAGGAGTCGCGTTTTGTTGTTCGCCGACTTGACCTCTCGGCCTTCACCGCAAGGCACTCGTGGAATGCTGCGCCAAGCCAAGCGCACCAGCACCTCGCCCGTTTGGTCCGTGGTGCGGCCTCGTCGGTGCCAGCTGCAGTTACACACGCCAGCGAGCATAATGCAGACGACGACCACCACAGCGGCCAGCTCTTCCTCATCGTCCGATGCCACTGCCCCGACATCTGGCTCGGCTTTCTTCTTCCGCCACGACGTGCAGCACGGGGGGCGGGCGTATGGGCTGCACCCACCCCGCACCATCTACCCGCTCGTCAAGACGGCCCACCTCGATTTCGGTGTGGAGGAGGTGGAGGTCGGGAGTGAGATTCCGTGGCACCACCATGACGACAAGGAGGAGGTAATCTTCGTGTGGCGCGGCCAAGGTCAAGCGTACATCGAGACAGACCAGGGTACAGAGCACAAACGATTAATCTCTTGTGATTGAGATTAAATTTTCGGATCGCACAGTGGCGGAAGGCGTGGCGACGGCTGGCGTGGAATCGAGCGACCTGCAAGCGGGAGTGACCATGTATGTGCCACCACGGCATCGACACCGCCTTGTCAACACTGGCGCAGAACCGCTTTGGGTAACAACACCCTTCACCCCTGCCTGCTGCTGTGCGTTGTGGCATGCCAGCTGAGTCGCCCGTACCATGCCAACAGATCACATGGACCTTTGCGCCACCGGGTGATGGGTTCGAAGCTGCCCTCATCAAGCAGAAGCAGAGCCAGCCACAGGCCTGATGATGTTGAACAATGCACGAACGTATAAAAGAGTCCCATAACAAAGGGCGCGCGGCCAAAGCCCAAAACGCGAAGCGACGCAGGGCCGAGGCCGTGTGGAATGGTGGGCGAAAGTCGCCACAGCGGAGCGGTGGGGGCCTCACGGCTGCTGCCGCTTGCCGAGTGCAGCCCCTCACGGTGGGGAAGGCTGTGGTGGCGAGTAGGTCCGCGAGATCGTTACTGTGGGAGGGCAGCACCTTCGTGTGCATCCTCCACGCAGCTGGTTTTCCGTTCCTAGAGCAACGCGCCGGCGCTGCACGAGGCCTAGTGCCTTCTTCTCGCTGGCCACAACCTCCTTTCTCCTTAAAAAAAAACTAATACGCAGGAATGCAGGCGACAATGATCTCAAAGAATTGCAATTACACCACAGTGTGGGTGGAACTGTTCAAAACTGTGCGTGTGCGACATTGGGCCACTGGGGAGTTCCCATCAGTTGCAACCTTGATAGCTCTTATCCAAACGTGGTTGTTTTGCTGGTCAGGTTTGCATGTGGAGAGGTCCGGAATCCACGTGATCTCACCACTCCAACATGGCAAGCATGGCCAGGGCCGCATTCGAACTCTCGCTGCGCGTCGCACAGCATCTCTGGCTGGGCCGTGGCCTCAGAAAAAAAAGAAGAGAAGGTCGCGAAATAGCGAGGAAAAGAACGAAAGCGAAGAGGCGGAAATCTCGCCGAAGCTGGCTTACTGGGCAGCGCAGTGGGCTGAGATCACGTCAGTGTGGTGAAGGGGAAGACAGAAGGGACGGAAAAGTCGCCCAAACTCGTGAGGGAAGGGCCGAGAAGCGAAGGCTCGCGGCGGCAAAGTGGACGAGGGAGTACCATCAAGGCCCCAGGCAAAGGCCCTTTACACTCATTTGCGAATTAGAATTCTTATCAACCACCACACAGCAAGGCAGCCAGAGGCAGAG